GGCTAACTGTACTGGGTATAAGTATTGGACTTGAAAAATGTGAAAATGTAAATAAAACTCAGTACTTTTTATGTCTCTTCGACACTTATTTAATACTGAGTACTTTGAATTGATCCTAAGTACACGTATCAAAGAGATTATTAGAACAGAGTATTTTCGAGTTCCTTTTTTGAGTACTGAGTACTTTCGTGTTCTTTTGTGAGGACTGAGCTCCTTGGAATACTCAGTATCGATACTTTTAAAAATCAGGTGGTGTCGATCCTTTTGAGAATCGAGTTCTGAGTACTTTTGGGATCGATACTGCCCAGCATTAAAAAGAGCATGTAATTAGCTTTGCAAAAATCTGAAAATCAGAAACCAGAAATTGATTTCTTTATACAAGAATGGGAAACATGTTAAATTAAAAGAAATAAATTCAAAACCTACATGTCATTTTATAGCTAAAAAGGAATTTTTTAACGAACGAGATTTTTTCAGAATTCTCTGTTTCAAAAAAAAATATCGTTCTGGAAATTTTAGATTTTGCCACAAAAAAGCAGATATACAGCTTTATTGAGAAACTAGATGACCAAACTAGCAGAAACATTCACATCTTTTGCAAAATCGCTGCTTAGTTTTAACATGTTCCTTCGGGCTTAGCGTCTACTTGGAGGTTACACCTTTTGCACGCCATTTAATCTAACTTTGATTCCCAAAGAATAAATAAAAGCGCTACCCACTGACTAACTGTATTACGTCAAAACCAGGGCCGAAACTCCATGCAGTATTTCCGAAAGTGAGGTAAAGTTACATATATTGTACTTAGGCATGGTGACCCTTTGTGATATAGCTTGCCCTTACAGTTTTATCCGACGGTATACATAGCAATAGAACCAGTTTAGCCAAGGCTGGGCAATGCCAGAGGAAATGTCCAACGTTCATGATTTTCTCGTCGTCTTAACAACAGCGGCAGTAGTCATTCGCCTGAGATAATATTCTGCTGGCGTGTATCGCCAATTTTCAGGAGAAAAAAAGCCATGCATCAGTTTCTTGGCGGAAACGGACGTGTAGGGAGATGACTATCTTTTCAGACCGCTAAGCGGCAATTCAAGCACTCTTCTCTTCCTCAATTGGGTTGCAACTTGTAGTAAAATAACAGCTATAGGGGAGAATTTGGGTTCAATTTTATATCAATTAAAACCTACTCGAACATGTGCCAGAGGTCAAAGTCTGGATAATGTACGAGAACGAGGCGGCTAATAAGCCAGTGTGGTGCTACTCTGTACCAAATTGTGTCACTAGGAGAAATCAAAAGCAATATTTCCGAAATTTTCCACTTGAAAGTTGAACAGAGATGTAGCTACGGAGGTTTGTAGAAGACAACCAGGCGGTTAGAGAATGACCCACATAGAACCAAGGCTTAGGGTTGAGTAAAGATAATATCTGCAAATTCACAGCTGTCTACAAAGAACGCTTACCCGTTGGTACATAAGTATACTTGAATATAAACAGTTGTTTTAACTACAGAATATTAGTTTTTATTTTACTCTTCCAAAGGCTGCTTTTCACTGAATATACGTAATTGCAAAATCGGTTATTAAGAGGTTAATTGCGTATAGCTGCTGGATTGATTAGCCACACTAACACCTTGTAATCCATGCAATTTAATATTTAAATCGCTTTAAAAGCAGTTACTTTGACAAGTTGACACTGCACAAATGTATATGTAAATTGAAAAACGATCGCTGATATTCATAAGCATTTGCCAGTAAGCTAACTAAACATATTGGCGCACATATATTTTATGTACCAACAAACATACGCACGTAAATACAAATATATGTATGTACATTCAATTGCAAATTGAATGCCTGCAATCACAAAGATTATTTGCTTAATTAAATGAACTCATTAAATAAGTGTGGCATATGCACACGATGACAAATGTGTAGTAAATAAATCACGATTAAATGGAATTGGAATATAAACAAAGTAGAAAAAATATAAAATTAATAAAGAAAAAAAACCAATGATAAAAAAACATTATTTGCAAAAATTAAACGCATTCATTAAGAACAAATGCATAACACACTTAAATATTTCCTTACATAAATATGTACGTACATACTGCGTATAATGAGCTACTCGTTAAGCTACTATGCAGTGGCACAAACACCTGCACACACATGCCCGATACATTAGGATGCGCTGCGATAAAAAAAAACGTTATTTTCCAAAGTAAATCATACAATTTGGACTTTTTTTAAGGCTTCTACCGAAATATTATGTGTCATTTTAGTGCATTGCATTGAGAGCATCTGTAAAAATTTCTTTTTTTGCACAAAATTTTTGAATGTAACTTTTTTATTAAGGAAGCGCCATCTATATATAAATACGCCACAAGAAAATTTTGCAATCCCTTTTTTGAAGGCACCGTTCGCTCGATTTCAAAGAAACATACACCGATTTAACCCTCTAGTAGGCTGAACCGCCTCCAGATGGTCGTTAACTAAACACCTTTTTAGTGCACCTATAATAATTTATTTTCTATATTCGTAAGGCACGATCTTTAGACAAAAATCGTACCCTTACGGCGAAGTAAATTTGAATCAGTTATGTCAATCCGTTTTATATTAATCGGCAGTTGAATTGGGCTGACTTCCAAAACGTCAATTGCTTTGCATACGTACAAAGTATAAGGTTCCATAACGTCGAACTACAAAATATTGACAATGTATACTGTTCCAAAACACAGCCGAAAAGTTATCGAAACGCATCGCTGGAGCAATCAGCGCATCAGAAACAAAGTTGATACTTCGTTTGTTATTGGTTAGCATTGGTGTTTTAGAAATGGAAAATTCAGAAAAATTGTTCATTGCTGTATTGAATATTTAAAATATGCAATGCATATGGTTGCAATGTGTCGCAACTCTGCATATACAAACAGTTTGAATACCGCAGTATAACAGTTTCCAAACATTGTATTGATACGTTTTGGAAGTCAGCCTAACATATTGTGAAAGACACGGTTAAAATTAATTATTTCTTGCTATTTAGTAATTTCGTAATTAAAGAAATTTTTTCTTTTGAAAAATTTTTTGATATAAAAAAATTCGGTGGATTTCGTAGTTAAAAGCACCGTATTTTGATATAAGTTTTATAATTATGTCACGGCTCGAAATGAAGAAAATTGCTTTCGAACACAGACCGTCTACAGACCGGCTTGCCGACATACAAAAACCAAGTTTGCATATTTGACCGTCTGCAGACGGGATTGCCGGCTCGTAGGTCAACATTGAGTAAGAGAAAGCTGAAAATACGTCAAAGTATATCTACGAGCCCGTCTCCAGACGGTCTTGGTTTTTCTCCCCTGTAGGAAAAAGTTACTGTCACAGATCGAAAAGGACATCATTTTTGGATTTCTCGTGCTAAATTCACCCATTCCTGAAATTTTCAACTCATAAAAAATTGGCCTACTAGAGGGTTAAAGGATATAACTTCCTCTAATTCAGAAATGTTAATACATAGGGGGCGTGGCGTCTGACATATAGACTAAAATGTGAAAACCACTATATCTCTAAAACCAATTTTACTGGGGAACTGTCCGATGCATTGTCCGATCGGAATTCATGTGGTAAGGCTCAACAGCATCTCAGGCTCAGCGTATGGAGGGTTAAATCACCTCAATATCTGCGGCTCAACTGCCCAGGTTTTACGAGATTAGGTTTCTCAGTCCCGAATATTGATTAGCAGCTCATGGATTTTTATTGCTCAAATGGGTAATTTTTCTACAGTCCTTAGAAGTCAAGGCGTTTCCACGACAATCGAATTACATTGTTTGCTCTCTCAATTACGAACGGCGAATTCCCCTGTTTACACGATCCATTCGTAATTCACTTGGCATCAATGTTTCTTGTTCTTTGTTTTGTTTATTGTTCAATTGTTTTAATAAATCTAACGTTTTTTTCGATATTTGTGATTATGGGAATGTGTGTGGTCTATGTGTTTTGACAAATCGTTTCGTTAAATTTCTCATGATAATTGAATCTGAATTACCAACAAATTGCGAATGGGAGAGCGAATCACTTGTCGTGGAAACATCATTTTACCATTCCCTGATATTCTCGTACAGCTAATTTGCTAGTGTAAACGTATGTGCACTACTTATAACTTGAAAAATGTTTTGTGATAGAATTTTTTTTTCTAAAAAAAAAAACTTTATGAATGACGCTGATTAAGCCGAAATATTTTGGTGGAAGATAAACAGTTAATATAATTTTATAACTCGCTTGGGTATTTAGAAAATATTTTACTTTGTATAGAACGTGGCGCAGCCTAATCCAAGTACATACATACATGCATATATAAAAAAAGCAAAATATTTGCAATCTGAAAGAGCAGCGAATTGCTGATTAATAGCAAAATTCAAATTTAAAGTATAAAAGTTAAAGCTTAAAAGTTTTAAATTTAGAGCGCCCACATCTAAGCCTCCCACATGCAAGCTTTCGTGTTTGGGCGTACGTGAGTGCATGCTGATTAATCTAGTTTATAAATTATTAAAGTCATATTTATTAAATCGATTTTTTTCGCTCCAATTCAATTCAGTTTTTTTTTTTAATTACTCTCGACCACTAATACTTTGCGCTCTCCGTACTTAATCAATTATGTATGCATGCATGGATGTACCATGTATGTATGTAATTGAGCATGAGTGTGTTCTGTTGTTGTTGTTGATTTTGTTGCTTTTGCGTTTTCTTATTAGCTTTGCATTATTTATTTATAGTTTGCATAAATATGGCTTAATGTTTTGTTTATATATTCCTTTTTTTGTTATTATTGTATTTTGTTTGTTTATGTGTGTGTGTTGGTTGTTTTTCTTTTTCTACGTACTCTTGTATCTATAGCATAATACCGAAGAATGTCAAAAATTTGAGTAAACTGTACAATTTATACAAGAAACGATATCTATCCAAATGTATGAAATTAAAATCCGCTCTGACATGTTCCGTTTCCGGTTCGATTCAACTGCATTTACGCGCTCGCCGCTGGAAGCGTTTCATGCGCAACGACCATTCGTCCTTCCATTCGAGCACCACCGAACTGGGGCCAATGGCTAGATAGCCGGGTGCGGCTTCCGCATCACGTCCAAGTATGAGATATGATCTAGAAGAGGAAGTGACGAAATTAAGCAAAAAGAGTGAGTGAAAGTGAGCTTTAAAAATAGATAAGAATCATCTGCAAAAGAAACGGGTTTTTATTAACAATCAGGAAAATTGTTGATTATTTTTTGTGCTAATTAAACTTACAGTAAGTATAGAAATACTGACCCAACGATTATTCTTACTTCAAAGGCGTGATGCATTAGTTCCAAAACTAGAAATCCCTACAAAATTGGGGATACGTCCTGCAGACTCCTTTATGAATTTTAGCAATTTGTTGAGGGAAAGAGAATGTATGTCGTCCATTCTCAGTACATCCGACCCTAAAATGTACCATCTGAGTCTGGAGAAGGCCGGACAGCGGCAGAGAAAATGTTCTGTACTATCCTCGTCCTCCAAACACGATGTACACAGTGCATCGTCGCTGATACCTATGGTGACCATATGTCGTCCCCATGGAAGAAATTTTGCTACCACCCTGTCAGGCCTTTTCAGGAAACACTTGGTTATTTTGCAGGTGTCAATAGTGCACCCACGGCTCTCATGAGTTTTGCTTATGAGATCCTTGATGCCCCGGATCGTTCCCGCTATGCTTGGCCCTACAATTGGCTCCGGTCCAATTGGGCGCTCCAGAGAACCGCAGTTCGCCAATTCATCGGCAAGTTCGTTACCTTGAACACCGCAGTGTCCTGGCACCTACACAAGTTCAAGCTCATTCCATCTTGTAACGGAGTTCAGCCTCAACTTACATTCCTGGACTAACTTTGAAAAGGTTGGAGCGGTTGCCAGGGCCTTCAGAGCAGCTTGGCTGTCACTGAAGACCCTAATTTTATATCCGCGCCACCTTTCGCCAGTTATGTAGTCTGCCGCTTTCAGTATTGCAAAGACTTCCGATTGAAAAACCGTTGTCATTGCACTCAAAGCGGTAAAGCATCTGAAGTTTCCGTCCAGATGCCATCCAGCTCCAGTACCCTTTTTCAGTCTTTGAGCCGACAGTATAGAATGTTTTCACGGAACTTCCCAAGAGAGTGTCTCTCCATTGTTCCCTTGTAGGAAATCTAACGATCTACTTTCTACCAAAGGAGACTCTAGGTATCAGTTTGTCATTTGTTGCCAAAAACAAAGCATATTGCTCTATACCAATGGGTAGCTACCCCACCACATTTAAAGCGGCGATTAATTCAAAAGAAATTTGCGGCAGAGAATGCTTTAGAAGAGCCACATACTCAAAATAGGTATATCTGAACTATTTCGGACAGTCAATTAGGCCTTTTGGTACCGAAGTACACAAAATCAATTCTCAGCAAGTACTTATATGACCGCTTCAATGTCCCAAATGATATTGGAACCAAGAATAAATATAGTAGTAATGTAGGTAATGAGTATTTCATGGCCCGGAATCCTATTGTGAGCTCACCAAAGCACACGCATAAAGGGGATAAGAAATATGCAATTGCCTAGAAATAGGAACTTCATGTCCAGTGCGGAGACAAGCCCAATGTGCCCCTTGAAAAAAGCTTCAAAGAAACTTCTTAATGTAAGCAGAGAAGACCTCCAAACTCCCTTCGGTTACTACACGGGGCACTGCTCAGTTCGCTGTCACCTCAGTAAAATTAAACTTTCAGAAACAAACGTCTGTCGCATTTATGATCTGGACGAAGAAATACCAGAATAGAGTATTTGTGAATGTGACGCTGCTGCTAGGCGCAGACCATCTCACTTGGGTGGTGTTACATTTAGTTTATCTGAAATTTAAGCAAAACGCTCTTGGAAGGGCTAGGATGTATTAAAAGCCTACATATACAGGGTCACGCAACATCAATCAATTTAGAGGCACATGGCGGGGGATATTGTCCAGGAGATTTTTTATGCTGAAGATAATATATATGTTTTCACCGTTGGGGTGTATTTTTAGGGTGATCTTGTCCAGGAAGTTATTGCTGGGAAATTTTTGTCGGGAAATTTTGTCCGTGTGATTTTAGGCCTTGAGCCATTGATTTACTACGAACTACTTCTCCTCCACATCAATTTCGAAAATATTTTTAAAAGTGGTTGGCACAAGTTAAAAGGTCTAATGAAATCAAATCAGTTATTTTAGTGAAATATTGCGATATGGAAAGCGAAGAAAAGCTAGTAATTTAATATTTGTACTAACCTTATATTTAGAATTTTATTTGTATAGTGTTTTGATTTCCTATCTATCGTTTCGCTTCAATCTTTCAGCATTTTGCTATACAAGGACACATGTATACATACGTACATATGTACATTTATGTATATGTATATGTGTAAAAGCGCCAAGCAATCTAACTAAAATAAATTTCCTACTTACTTGTTCAACTTTATTTTGGGACACTGGCACTCGAGACTCTTACGCGGCACTAGCCACATCATATGCCCTCTGCCCAGCAGCGAACTCGTCGTACCCTGCAAAGGGTTCCGCTTGAAAATCGTTTGTATATTTATTTCGTATTTGAAAATTTCATTTTGTCGTTCAATCGAAAATTTCTCCGTATTGATATCCTGTGATGCGCGATCATGCCCAATGACTTTTGCCAAAAGGGCTGCAATGACAAAAAAGGAGAAAGAAAAAAGCGAGGAAAAAATAAATAAATTAAAATAGAAGCGTCAGCATAAATACAATTAAAATTGTAATAGCCCGCGGGCATGAATGCGTGCATGCATGAAATTCATTAGAAAATTACAAAAACAATAGCAAATATCGATATATGTATGTAGCCATACATACATCATGCGCTCAGGTTACTCATACGTACCGTAATCCTCCATGCAGAATTTATTCAAATTGAGTTTTTTCGGGCTGGCCTTACATTTGCCACAATCTGTTGAATATTAAATAAAAGTTAATTAAATTTCAAACTCCAATGCACTGTGTCGGACAGTTCAATGAACACAAACACAAACACACACGCACTTACTCAAATTAAATGAACTTAACTAGTTTGTCGCGTTGGGGAATTTGGTAAATTTCATTAAAGTGAAATGCACTCTAAGCACTAAATTTGCAATGAAAATTTGATTACGAGTGTAAATTACATTTCGGCGCAATTATGCTTTTCTGTATGTGTGTGTGTGTGTTTGAGGGTGTCGCGTATCTTTGGTGCGGTCGAAAATAACACACAAAAATGGAGGCAAACCTCAAAGTGACACAAAAAAGGGTTGAAGTGGCCGCTATGTGCTAGTTATTGTAATGAAATGAAAACGCAGCAACTGCAAAAATGTCGCTCGAAAACTTTATTCGTATTTTGACCATTTTCATTTCTCCCTCCACCGCTTACAGTGCAATTATTCGGCAGCTCTGCGGTTATTGCTTGCCGACCGACCTTTTAATCAACACTCCATTTCATCCCCTTTTTTTCACTGCCACTTACAATTATTTTAATGTAATTTCGCAAATTAGTTATTTTTTGTTCTTCACACTCACATTTTTTCATTTCATCATCGGCTCCGCCTGGTTCGCGATACTCGCTCACTGCACTCTCCGCTTGTATCATATTCGCTTTGGTCGGTAATTCTATTGCGGGAAAATTTATTTCATGTCATAATCGAAATTTGATAATTTTTCCTTACCCATTATTGTGTTGTTTTTTTTGTACTTACTTATACAGGGCGCCACATGGGATCTGGTCTGTTGATAGCCGCGCGCACATCGGTTACAAGTCAGTCCGGTTACGCCCTCTTTGCATGGGCATTGCCCGCTTAGATGATTGCAGGTTTTGCCTGTGGAGCCTACAGGGTGGCAATCGCAGCCTGGAGAATGGAGAAAGGAAACAATTTTTTTTTGTGATTTGAGTTTTCTCTGACGTTAGGATTTTGTTCTCCTTCTTCAGGAAAGGCAATGTTCTGAATTTTAATTTCGAATAAATTTCTCGAATTCGGTTTTCATAATTTTTATAAATGAAATGTATTTGCGAATTAAATCCTATACTACTGTGGAAGTGAATTGACCCATGTCACTTAAGGAGTTCCCTAGATCACTTTTGTATAGCAGCCATAAACAAAATTCTTTTCCCCCTTATTCAAAAAGTGGAACTAATTTAAAATAAATTAAATTCTTATTTACACTTTTATGCACTTTTGTTGCTCACACTCCCTTCATCTCTTCGCTTCCACCCCAGCTTTAGACGGAGATTAAGGTACTACTGACGAGCGAGTGGTTATTGTGGGCAAACAATATCAGTCAGCAAACAAAAGCGAAAGCGAAAATTAAAATGAAAAGAGGCCAAATCGATGCACAAAAGGTAATCGAATACAAAGTGCAAAGAACGAGAACTCAATTTCAGATTACAAAAAGTACATAAAAGGCCACAGAGATAACAAGGAAATAGGAGCGGCGCACAGTGTTCCATTTTGGGAAAAAGTGGGCAAAATCAAATATCTGGCAAAGCAGAAGAGATAGCGAAAAACTTTAATGTTATTTTAAAGCTTTTGAGATGGTGAAGCGAGGAAAAATAATCCCGTTGGATAAAATAATTGCTTTGAACTTTAAAAGGACCTCCAAACACATATAAGGTTTTAATTTTTTTTTTTACCTGAAACCAGTATGCAATGAACTTTTCACAATTTTCAAACACTGAGTTTTGCTTTTATTCAAGGAATACCTTCCTAATTGAATAAAAAATTATCATCACCTAAAACCGATCTTCGAAAGTAAATTTTTTTTAATTTTTTTTTTGTTTTTGACCTAAAAAAAATTAAACGGCGTTTTTTAGTCTTGCAACCTTTGAAACATTTGTACACACACATTCTAAAAAGTTCACTGCTTACTGGTTTTTATTTCAAAAACAAGGATAAAACTTTAGTAGCTTATATTTAAGACAGTAATTTTAAGGGTCAGGTTCATTTTTATAATTAACGGTACTTTTTTTCCCGAATTTTCCATTCCAAAATCTTTAAAATACCGTTACATTTATTCGCTAAATTATTCCGTTCTCGAGATATTTTATTTTGTCCTTTTTTCCAACATAGGACACTGTGCGGCGGCACGCTTATGCATCTAAGTCTGAAAAGAGCTATGGATGTTAAATAAAGCTACAGAGAAACAAACAGAATAAAAAAAATAATTATTTAAAACTGGAATAAAATTGTATGCAATATCGTTGTTTTTTTTTGGGAAATTTTTGTTATAAACTTCTTCTGTGTTTACCAGTATTCCATAATTTAAAGTGATACAATTTTAACTGCCAGTTTCACCACAATATTAAGTTAAAGGTTATTTTTTCGTATCTGTCAGTTTTCATATTAACTTCAATTAAAAATATAATAATTTTTCATTTGAATTGCTTTAGTGCAACTGGCTAGAAAAAAGTAATCAAATCTTACTCTTTAGATTACTAAATTGTACTTTTCGCCATATATTAATGAGTATTCAAAACTCTGTTGTGTGAATAATCCATTGTGGATGGAATAACTAAGTGAATATATTATTTAAATATTATGAGCAAATAGCGAGATATTTATGAAGTAACCAGTCATGACTAGCAAAACATTATTGCAATTATTTGACCCCTAATTAAATTAATATAGTAGTCAAAAAGTATTGCATTACTTAACTCTTCTGAGCAGGCACTGTATTTGGCCACTGAAAAATATTAGTTTTTTGGTGCACACACATTTTCCTAAGTATTTGGGCGAGCTTTTCATTCAATTTTTGGTGAGTGCCTTTGAGTTTTCAACATAAATGGACAATACATTTTCAACACTCTAATATTTTTGACAAAAATATTTGCATCGGAAAATTGTACAGATTCAGCAGCCTAATTTCTTTAAAATTGTTTGTATCACTAAAGAGATATATCTATTAAAGATATATCTATTAAAGCTACAAAACCTTAATATTAATTATTTAAAATTCATAGCAGCAGTAGGGAGGAATAGATTTGTATGGGATTTCGTTAGCGTATTAATATATAGATTCCTGCGGTACGGCCGTGCCAACTGAGTCGTTGTATTTTATTTCGCTGAATTATGCCTATAACGTTGTAACGTAAATATTCAAAAAATGTTTTACAAGCTACAGTATATGATGACGTTTAAGCGGTAACTTCATTTCACTTTCACGGATTTAAGGAACTGCTCAAAACCATCAATTATATTCCCTCAGCTTAAGTAATTAGCGTTAGAGTAAAGGACTTTTTTAAAAATTGGCTACATACATTGTATAGCAGTATCGGATACTATCCGTGATACCCTAATTTTGTTTATGTATAAATCATTTTTAGGGGCCGGCAAGGTTTTGCTAAAGTGCGCTAAAAGCCAAATTTTTTTATAGCGATTTTTTATTTTGACCCATATTGCCCACACTGTTTGTTGCCTTTGCTTGGGCTATGCGGCTTCTAAAATCTGATTTTAATATGTTTTTAAAAGGAACACCTTTTCTAAAATCAGCTGCGTTTTGATGTAGCCAAATGGTTTAGGAAATCGCAATTTTTCAAATTTCACGGCCCTGAACTTACAATTCCGTAAAATATGCCCGATGCTTTGGAGTACTTATGTTTTTAAGACAGCAAAAACATTAGTATATAGCAGGGTTCGATAATATAAACCGCCATATTTTATATCTAATATGAATGTCGTTCCTAAATGAAAGAAGAGTAAGCATACAATACCAATCTACCTCGAAACCGTAGCACCTTTCCTACTCGTGGTCGCAGTTTTTGAAAGTTGAGTCGTGGCTATGTGAACCTGCCCTAATAAAGCACGAAGAAACACAACAGTCACGATGTGCGTGTTCAAATTCAATTGAACTTACGAGTACTAATACCATTTCCCGCGTCTTTGTACTTTTCTAAAAACTCAGCATTACAAAACAAATTTTAGACAAGGTGCATTTGTTCTGTCTAACGTTCGTGTTGTTGTTGCCGCTGTTGTTTAGGGATTATTGAATGAAATTCCACTTGAAGCTACATACCTTAATCGCTGTCATTCCACCACTTCAACTCGTCAGCCCGTTAAATTGCGAGAATGCGCATTCGAAAGGGAGTTATGAAACAAAGCATAGAATTGGTGTTCAACTCGTATCTACCAACTATTTCCCTTAGCATTTTTGCTGTGCTGGTTGTTGTTGCCAACACCGAGTTGGCACAAAAAAAAATACTGATGTCTGATGGATTACTCAGTTTGAAATTGAAAAGCGAAAGAAATCCACCATTGCTTTCAACAGCTTTATACCACAAATAGTTGCCGTGCCCCCCTTCCCAATACCACACTTCTTCTCGCACAAATCTCTTCTTTTATATATGTAGTTGTAAATGTGCTCGCATGTATGTTGCTGTTGTTGTTTTGGAATTACTTGCAACGATAATGTTTTCAATGATGACAACATCTAATTCTAAATCCGTTGCTGATGTGTGGGATTTCAGGTGTAGATGATGAGTTCGTGACGAATCGATGGAAGAAAAACTTTTCAACAAATTTGTTCCTTACCTAAATATGTATGAACGTTTGTGCATACAAAGTATTTGGGAATGTAGCTAGTAGCTACCGTTAGAAGTCGATGGGTGGTTGTTTTCGAGGAATGTCACACAAAAGTTGCTATTTGTTCAACACATGCGATTATCTTAGATTTGTATAGACGTCTAGTCCTGATTAGCTCATTGTTCGAAAATTAACTCAACACCTTTGACAAGTTTGCGTTGAAGAAACTTCATTGTAGAACCACTGCAAAACTAACTACGGACGTGTACGTAGAAATACTTAGGAATGAGAATACACTAATACCAACTGGGGCAGACTTCTGTTAAACTTGGAACTAATTCAATGATTAGTTAGCATTCTTTTGCTTCAATCGAAATAGCAGAAATAAAGACGTACAAATTCATAATTTTATCCCATTTAGCGGCAGTTTATGACGTTAAATGAATAGCCCTAATGCGTTTACTGGAAAAAGTTTAATTTTGGTTCGGAAACTACACAGTTCTGCGAAAAAACTTTTTTTAAAGAAAGGCAGAACTTTTTTTTAAAGGCGAATAATGAGTACTTATCCCTTTTTTCAAATGTTTTATAGTTTGCAGTTTAATGCGAATCTTTAAATATTTTTGTTGCTGAAATTCGTCGGCCACCGTTGTCGAATGGTTTGAGGTGAGCACTACCAGTCCGTAGGTCGAGGCTTCGATCCCCAATATCGGTCGCCCCTCAGCAGGCAATTACTACGTTTATACGCACAGAATAATCGACTTAATTGAAAGCGCATTGACACCGTACACATTTCGCTCTAGTGTTTATACTTACGGCTTTATATCGGCATCAAAGTAACCGTCTTCAAAAGCAAACAAAATCAGCTGTTTTCATTAGACATTTTATAAGTTAACATAATGGAAAGTGATAAAAATCTAGTTTTATTCGGCATTATAAAATCGTGGCAAAGAAAAAGAACGATTATTATTAATCAGCTTTTAAATACTGATGCGATTATTTGGAATTTGAGCGGAACAGCTGATCTCCAATTCGCTTTGAGTGAGAGCGGTGTTTATACACTCTTTCTAACTGCCTGGAGAAATAACCTACCGATTTGAAATGGAGTGTGAACCAAAACACTTCGCTCTTTCAAAGCGAATTGAAATTCAGTTTATACATATGTTTGAATCGCGGCGAAATGAATTAAAGCGACTTATGCATGCGTAAAAACCACGATTGAGAGAATACTTCTTGCGTAAAATCGTAGTAAATGACAAACTTCCGAGTGTATTTCTGGCATGAAAAAATGCTTCCCATTAAAACCATTTGCCGTTCGTGCCGTGGCGGCATTAAACGTACTACGACCTAAGCAAATGTGTAAGTGTCAAATATTTATTTTTATTTTTTCAGATACATATTCAGGATGGTTTCGGGTGCAGAGGTCCACGCATGTGGAGAAAATTTTTCAACGTCATTCATTTTCTTTATTGGACTGGGCCAAACTATTAGGCGGCTTTAGGTCCAAGCAAAAGGAGGACAATATAGTCGTTTAAAATAGAACGGTCTAAAGTTTCAAGCTGTCTGTTATTGGCAATTGATTTTAAAGAAAATTTCCGATGGCCGAAAAACTTTCGTAGTTTCGCCATTGCTTGCCGTTGAGCGACTGCCTTCAGAGGAAAATGTTTATTAATATTTGAATTTTCTGAGATCCTAATATCCTTGGGTCTCTCCGACAGTTTGTGCTTAATCACTCCACTGTAGTGTTGGATAAAAAAAAATTTAATTACCTTGTTTGACATACGAAAATTAAAAAATACCTTTTTGTTATTTGTTTGATAGTTGCAGGAAACTCATTCACTACGCTAAATAGAAGTGTTTGCAGCACATATATCGAAATATGTAAATATCTATTCAATATAAGTTTTGAACTAATTATAATATTACCTAAAGTTTGTTGCATATAATATCACGCTAACCGACTTCAAAAAAGGAGGAGGTTATCAGTTCGTCGGAATATTATTTTTACTTTTATTATTTTTTTTATGTATGTTACCGCATAACCACGGACCACGTTGACTGATTTCGATGATAATTTTTTCATCGGAAAGTTGGTACCTCCAGGGTTGTTTAGATCCGATAATTGGATCGTGCAGAAATTTACGATAATCCTAAATTTTTTTATGAGAATTGATGTCGGTTTTGTTTTTGCTTACAAATTAATTGTTTTCTACCAAATTTTTTAAAATATTATACATTTTTTCTTCCAATTACTTACGTTTGCAGATCTTGCGATGATTTGCCGGTTTGGTAGCATCCCTGTAGTAGCCCTCGCGACAGTAGTGACAATAACGGCCAGTGGTGTCGTGTTGACAATTGTAGCAGACTCCTCCCGAAACACGGCCAGACAGCTTGTAAAGTTCCAAATTAAAACGGCAACGACGCGCATGTCCATTGCATTGACACACTGAAAGATAAAGCAAAAACGAAAACATATGGATTAATTCTTAATTCGTATAGTTACATTTGTACATAAGTTAAGATAGTTTAAGACTTGTATGAAAAGTTTAGGTAATTGCAAGTACAAGGCGGAGCTTGGGTATTAACGATTTCACTTTTATTGATGTAATTAGAAAGGGTCATAGCTTATATTCAGTAAAATAATATACATAAGTACATACCAAGCCCTATCCGCCAAAAATACGTAAGTGACATTTCAATCAAAATTTTATTTTTGATGCAAAAATGTTCCTTAGATACATTTTTGAATCCAAAATTTAAATTTTGAGAAAAAAAAATTCGCTTACCTCTTTTTGGCGGTCAGAGCTCGATTTATGTGAATAAAGAGTAGATAGGTCATCATTGAACAAAACACCTAATTTTTTTACTACACTTCCGGCAATGAAAGGTGAGCATAAAATGTGTGCAATTCAATTTGCAACCACAGTTCGCCAACAAAGGCGGGACACATGAACCTACTGATCGAATTGTGGTAGTCAAGGGAGACATTGTACTTATGGACACACCTATGTATATAACTATACTATTTATGCTAGTACATTGCGATTTAAACAGCATTTTAGTGTGTGCAAGCATAACTGAAGTACATGTATGTATGTATTAGTGCAGTGCTCGAAATTATTAAGTTTATGGTTTTATAAATATATAGGGAAAACTTGGAAGTTAGAGGGGGACGGGCTCGATCCCTCTTCCCCTGCCAGGCTACGCCCACGTTTACGCTCGTATTGACTACATACTCGTATTCATTATTGAACCTGTGCTACATAGTTTGTGTACCAAGGAAACGCAGGTTATACTCTTTACACATGAACATGCCGGACCATCTACGGTTTTTTTTCAATCCATTCAAACGCTCTTTCACGTCGCTATTCCCAAAACCGACTAAAAAACTCTTGAAGTAGGAAATGTGTGTGAAGTAGGGCCCTTTCAAGTAGGCGCATAATAATAAAAACAAAAAAATCAAGTGAACCCGAATGTTTTTGTGATTCGATTTTCAAATCGACAATCTCCTAAACACACTCAATGAAACTAAAACGAATTGCCAATGTATGTAAAGTGCAAATAAAAGTAAAACAGAAAATAACATGTCACAGTAGATTTGAAAAGCCCGTAAAAAAATTGTGATCTGTATCGTACAATGCTTGTGAGTGTGCGTCTAAGCGTTTATTTTGCCCAAAAGGTTTGTGTGCCTGTGTACTTATTTGGATGTGACGGCGTTCACAATGGCTCTCGTTTTGATGGCATTTTCATGTTTTTCCATCACTTCAATTCTGTTCGTGAATGGGTTTAAAAGCTATTAAACAAAAATAGAAACAAAAAAGCTAACATACGCTCATGACAAGTTGCGGATTTTTAAAATGTCCGCACTGCAACACAAGGTTGGATTTATTTACTTTAAAAAAATGGCATATTTTAAATATACGGTGCTTACTGCACGGGTTTAAAGTGACCAAAATAGAAAGCAAAATTTATTTAAAAATATATAAAGTGTTTTCCAATGAGGGTGGGTAGATGTTAGGTTAGATAGATATAAATAGATTAAGCACTGCGACCAGTAGGTCTATTGTGCCCCCTGCTCATCACAATACTGAATCTAGCCATAAAGACTCTATTAATTTCTTGCTCATAGGTACCTTACTGGCCGTCTCCACGGGATAAAATTTATTGCTGCCCAGCTGTCATTTTGGTCGCTAGATATAAGTTATACCAGTGGCAATATTTGTGTGGGCCTTTTATATCTTGATATAAGCATTTGTAAGATAGCTTTGAAAATATATTTTTGCCGGATTTAATCGCTTAAAAAATTTAGAAAATAGGCTATTTTACATCCAAGTACATAATTACAAATGTTTTAACAGGAAACAGCTCAATTTTTGCTTTTATATTAAAATAATAATGATGTTGCAGCCACGAAGTTTTCGTGCAAATCAAAATGTAGCTGTCAAACTACCAAATTGCCGGCAATAGATGGCAAGATATAAGCTCTGATATATATTTCTCTTGAAGAGCAATGATAGGTCTCCATTGGCTATTTATATTCTAACATATGTATCAAGATATAAACTTTATCCTGTGGACACGGGCAGTTACGCAGCTCACCTCCGTGAAAAGTTCACACACTCTAGGAGAAGGTGTATTGTTGTCTCTTTGACGTAGTTACAAAAGCGACATAGATCGCTCGACCAGATGACTACCTTACGCAAGTGGCCTCTTAGCCTACAATGACCCATTAGAATACTTGTAATAATTCTTAGCCTCTCCGGGTGGCTGCTCATGCTCAACGAATGGGTATCGCTATCGTGGACAAGTGGTGGAAACCAGGGAATCCTTAGAGCATATTCTATGCCGATGCCCCGTACTGGCAAATATATGACTAAAATTCCTATCAATTCGTGAAGTTAGTAATCATCTCGTGTAGGGCTCAAATGACTACTAAAATTCGCAAAAAGCGTTGACATGCTTTGTGAGGCCTACTTTAACGCCTGAAATCGAACTCCCATTGGCAAAGACCTACCGGTCTATTTGTGGCTCAACACCTGTTAAATTAATTAAACTTAACCTAACTTATGCCAACGATGACACATAACTTAATTGAGCTTGGTAGAGGTAACAAATTCCTGGTCCAAAACTGATAGGTAATCAAAGTTGCGTATTTCAGCAGGTTCGAACTACAAGTCTTTTTGAAATAGCGGAAACTGTTTTAAGTGAATACCAAAGCACCATCCAGTCTAGTCGCTTAAAAATGGATGAGATACTCATGTCGAAGAATTCTCACCATTTGTGCAATAACATCAAATTTTTTTGGGGAAAACGGATGAATACGGTTATTTTCTTAAAAATACGAAAACAGCTAAAGACATTTTATCCGGGTCTTGCCGAAAATTCTTAAGCCCAAATTGCAATAGCGCAGCGCCAGTTTTTCGAAATCAGAAACTCTTCTGTGCCATGAAGCGACACACAATGCAGCAGTAATAGCTCGCAGTACCGATCAGATTAGCCCAAATTCTAAATTGACTGCCACTGCCTTCATTGCAGCAAACTTCGCGTGTTGAATTTTACACACTTTATACGCAATCAGCATTTGTTTATGTCACTGAAGCCCAAAATAGATTGTAGTTTGGGCTTTGCAAGACAAAACTGGTCCGAACTATTCACTAGGAAATACAAGTACCCCAACGCAGCTCTTTCCTCAATTGAAGGTTTTCCCAAAGGTTATTTTCTGATCGGAATTCAGCCGGTGACGGTAAAAATCCCATCTGATCCTTACTGCCGCAGTTGCATAGAGAATGATTAGGTAAAATCTCCTCCACTTTTTCTTTTCATTAATATTTTTAAGTCAAACTGAATTGAGCTTTAAAATTAAGTCAACCCAGGCAGACGTAAAACGTAAACCAGGCGTGGTAAGCCGTATTTAGCTGAAAGGTGGCAACTTTTAATCAAACGATTGAATTTTTCTCTAGCAAAAGTATTACGGCTAAGTTTGTACTATATTGAAAAAGCTTCTCATAAAAAGCATTTGACGTTCAGAGGCCAACAACTTTACTCCTAGATAGACAACGCAGGGAATATTAACAGGGCTTCAGAGCAAAGGTTTTTCTCCATAGCTCCGCTCCGGTATTTTATTTCGCTCTGAGCTCCGCTTTTGCTCCACTTCCGCTCCCAATATTTTTATTTATTTATTTATTTACATATGTGCCATAACCGCGAAAAAAACGTTGGCGATTTTTTTTTTGTAATTTTTTGATTAAGAATTGCATTTAGAACTCTTCTGCATCCAAAGGAAAATTAAAAAAATTGCCAAGTTAACTGAATAGAATGTAGTAAAAATTTATGAAGTGTGCCACCATTTTTTCGAAGGTCGAGCTTTTTTGTGCAATTATCTGTTTGTGCTTCCCAACGATAAAAGAAAAATAAAAGTTTCAACATTTTTCGAAATTCTAAATATTTTGGAAGTTATAGCTATTAAAAATTCTCGAAATCGTTTTGATTTTAATTGTTTTCTCTCGATTGGTTATACCTATTCTGCGCATATTTTAAACAGTTAATAACTATGAAGTTTTCTTCAAATTTTTATTTTTTATTTGATCATAAAATTTTTTTTATAAAAGTTATCAATTTTTTTTTTAATATTACTGACATCTCAATGGCTTTAAAATCGCATTTTCGGCTAATATTGTTGTACGATCTATTAACAATTATTTGCAAAAAAAATAATAATTGCCGGAATGCATCGAGAGGAGAGTTCTTCACGCACTTCTCTTGATGCCCAATGTATTTTCTATGTAAATGCCAGATAGCCAGAAAATAGCAAAAACAAAATATTGAAAACTTTTATTTTTGCTCCAGCTCCGCTCCAGCTAAAATCCTTTTCTCCTTGCTCCTTTGCTCCGCTCCGCTCCGAAGCCCTGAATATTAATAATTCGCTAACCTTCTGAATAAGTAATGCCTCTGATGTAAATTAACAATTCATAATTGAAATGATGGTTATTAAAAATACTGATTGTTAAACTATAAGGACATGCCAGCGGAGTTGTGCCGAAGAAACCTTTAGCAATCGTGCAATATTTTTTTCTTATTAAATAATTAACTTTGCGTTCCCCAGTTGAACAAGAGAAAATTTCCTTATACTTAAGTGAAATACTTATCTTAAACCATTCAACAATTGCCCAAAATAAAAATATTTCAAATACTAAGCAGTGCTAAATGAAAATTGCACTGGTTTTGTGATATCAACGCTTGTCCTTTTCTGAGTCAGCAACCCGTGCGATAGATAAGTATTTAACTTAAAAAAAGGTACCATAAAAATAAATAAATGCTGCTCGCATTTACACAAACTTGCACTTACATACACACATCTTCGTAAAACTAACATTTAAAATCGGTAGGGATTTGCAATGAGATCAAGTAAAATAACAAACTTACGCTTCAAGAAATCCCTGCATCAGC